AACTACTCCATTCCCCTTGACAGGCTTTAACTCTCTGTCAGGTTTATCCTCCATGATTAAATTGTTCAAGCCACCTGGGAATGTGGTGAAGGAGTCTTGTAGTAACTTGCACTATCTGTATCCCCCGATAACAAAGTCACCCCGACCTAGGTTGCCTCTGTTTTGAAGTCTCAGGGGATTCTTATTATTGTTTTTCTGGGACTAATAAGATAGGATACAGGGTAGGACATCTTAGCTCCTGCTCCCACACAGAGAATGTCACAACTAAAGAGACCATGACTAATCTCTCCTCTTTGTTGCAGCCAGAGGATTTTAGGAACCAAAACCAGGCCCGTGCTGACATCTGATGGTTGTGTGGCGATAACAGATTGTGAACTCACCTACATACGCAAACAATCAAACGTGTCAGAGACTGGTGAGTTGTCATGTAGAAAGTGGGACCTCCTCCCGGGATCCTTTGATGAAAGGAAATATATTGATGGGATATGAGTACCTCGAGGGGTTCCAGAAGAATTCAAAGCTAGGAATCAGATCGCAGCTGGGTTTGAATCAAGTCTTTTCTGGTGGTCAACAATTAATAAAAACGTAGATTGGATAAATTATATTTACTATAACCAGCAAAGATTTATAAACCACACTCGTGATGCAATAAAGGGATTGGCTGAGCAGACAGCGGCAACTAGCTTGATGGCATGGCAAAATAGAATAGCTTTAGATATGCTTTTGGCTGAGCGGGGCGGAGTTTGTGTTCTGTTTGGATCTATGTGCTCTACTTTCATCTCCAACAATACAGCACCGGACGGGTCCGTGACCAAAGCGCTTCAGGGACTCACCACGCTGGCGAACGAACTGGCTGAGAACTCTGGTATTGATAGTTCCCTAAACGGTTGGTTTGATAACATATTTGGTAAATGGAAAACTATTGTTGTAACTATTCTGGGTGAAGTTATAGCTTCTATGGATTGTTAGAAATTGCATAATTCAAATCTGGTATTGGAATAAGAGAAAACATGATGAAGAGATATTCAATCCAAGCTACATTTATTATATGCAAAATGTATGTATGATAAGTATGTTGGTTCGTATACGGGCTCACTGAAATACCACGCAGGGCAGACAGAGAACTTATCCATTGTTACAGGTTCTTCTTCAAATACTCTGACAGAGATAGTTCCCACTCCCTGCTGTGCCTATCAGAGTAGAGACTGAGCGTGGTTTAGACTTACTCAGCCAATCCGTTGGCGCACAGGCTGGTCCCAGCCCCTCGGCGCTCCACTGTTGCACACTGTTGCCAGGCATAAGTTGTTATCACCACAACCTGTAGAGTCATCACCCATAGACACCGTTCCACTGTACTCTAAGTACCTACGTTCAAGGACGGTTCACAGACAACGGTTCACAGACAACAAAGAGGCAGTGTTCGTATCTGTGAGAAATACAAGTCTTATCTCATCCTACCCCCTAACGTTCCTCACATGAATCACAGCTTGTTATGTGAAACAATTTATATCAGTACAGTACAAACCTTTTATGCTTTAATCATTAATGCATTCTTTCTAAGTTAGTCATCCCATCCAGTTATGGGAAATAGAATCCCCACAATCCCCCTTTTCACACCCACTGGGTGTGAACCCAAAATAAGGAAAACACAGGGTGTCACTCATTAAAATACAATACAAACAAAAAGAATCACACTTTTATTAATAGGCAATAATGATACTAAAAAATAAAAACCCTCAGTCCTTCCATCTACACCCAACTTGTAAACGGTTGGCTACCAGTCACCCAGGAACTTCAAACCTTCACATAAGGAAAGACAAACATTCACAATGGTTAACTTAATTAATAAAGCATAAAACACAGGATTAATAGAACACAAAACACAAGATTATGAAAACTCCAGGGTGTGATTAAGAAATGTTTAAGGGAAAATGTAGGATTCCCTCTTTTGACACCATGTATGGTGTCACTCCAAATAACAGTTTAAACAGAATATAAACAACCCTGAGAATAACAGGATATGGAAATTAAATCACATCAAAAAATGTTAATAAAAGAAAAAAAAAATGTTTTACCCTCTATTTCTCCCCTACACCTAACATGTACTGAGTTGGCTACCAGCCACCCAGGAATCCTTTACCTTCACATCAGGAGGAATAAACAACCACAGTGGTTAGTAAAAACATAAGGTAATAAATGAGCAATATTTTTTTTATTTTTTTGGGCAAACCATGGATCATCCAGCTTGGTCTCAGAGTCAGTAGCAGAGTCACCCGCATCATCCTGGGCCGGTAACAACGGCATCATACCTGACGCCTGCACCACTCCTACCACTGACTTCCTGAGACAGGGGATGAAGCAAGCAGCACAACACATTAACAGCAAAAACACAATTACTAGGGTCAGAAATCCAGTAACCACCATAGAAGAATACTTACAGAACCAGTCACTCAACCAGGAGAACAGCCCACCACTCTCCACTCCAGCCATGCTCTTCATTTCTGCTGACAACTTATCCAAGCCAACAAGGGCCTTTGTGATGCTCCCGTCAGGGCTTGTATTGTTAGGAATAAACGTACAGCATTGTTCCCCAAACATCTTACACACACCCCCTTGGTTAGCAAGCAACATGTCAAGTGCTAGTCTATTTTGCCTAGCCACCCTAGAGGTGGCCTCTAGTTGTTCGGACATTCCAGTCAGGGCAGTGCGTGTGTAGTTAACAAATCGCTGTTGGTTATAACAGATGTAATTTATCCAAGATCGCTGTTTAGCAGCATCTATAGCAGGTCCTATGATTGGCAACAAATGCCACAACCCATAATTCCTGTTGAGTGCCTGGAACTGTAATGGTACTCCCACAGGCACCCCCAACAGGTTAGAGTGGATCTCCTCTCCTGCTGACCATGGGGCACTACGTCTCCCCCGCCTCATTCTCTCTCTGTCTGGGGCTAGCTGGACGATCCCCAAAAGTTGGTCTGAGGAAACATCAATAATGGTCAGTGGTACAATTAAACTATGTAATGCACACGTGCCCTGCCAGTCCCCCTTTAGAATCGGGGTTAGTTTTCTATTTGGCCCACAGATCCACCACAGATCAGCCACCCCCTTTGTCTGGGTTTTACCCTTTACTGGCCAAGTGCTGTTCATGGTTACATTCACAGCACAGTCCCCTGATGGTAGCCTACCATAGTTAACACCCTTACCTGTTCCAGTAATGCAACTGTAATTACCTCCATAAGCCTGAACTCCCGCAGGTGCCTTTTGTGGGGGAACCTCAGGGAAAATCAAACTTAGGGCTTTGCACAGGGTGATGTTTGGCAGTGAATGGTAAAACTCTTCCAATATGCACTGCCATCCTTCCCCTTCTCCTAAGGTGAATGGGTGGGTTGCCAACCCAGGTCTTGCATGCCCACAGATAATACAATTCTGCCTGGCCAGTGTCCTAGCCGTATACCTCATGTATGCCAACCACACATTTTCTTTCCCTTCATAGCCAGTTTCTGTCCCCAGTTGGTCGCTGTCCGTTATATCCCTAACATGAATCACCTGAACAGGGTTTGGTACCTTAGTGGGTTGAAGCTGAGCTGGTCCTGGAGTGGTGGTGTGGTTCAACTAGCTGCTTTAGAAGCATATCCTAATGCATATGGATAGCCTCTACGCCATTCCCAGAAGGTGCCAACATTTGTGATCATATAGTCCCAATATGGACACCACTTTCCCTCACACAGATAAGTACCTCTCTTTAACACATGGGGATACATTTTGTTACAGTTTTCCTTCTGGTTCCAATTGCAACCAGTGTCCCCAATTCCACTAGCCCTATTCCTCCATGACCAGATCTTACATGGTTCTAGGGACATCACTTGAGATTCCCCTTCCTGTAAGGTAATGACTATATCATGATACTGACTGGAAGTCACTGTTCCCCATAGGGCCAGCCCCACTACTAACCATAACATCCTCCCCTTCTGCAGCCAAGTCCTGTTGTACTTGATCTAGAGTTCTTCCTGGAGCTATATCTTTGGCACAATGTGTTCTGTGGTACCACACGTCCTTCTTACTCGTGTTTACCCTCAGCGAGTGACTTGATACCTCTTTCACCTGAAAAGGTCCCTCACACCTTGGCTCCGTCCACTTCCTGGAATGCACCTTTACTCTCACCCAGTCTCCCACCAGGATGTTTCTGTTCTCGTCCGTGGTTTCAACAGCAGGAGTGCGCACTTCCACCACCTGTTTAGACAATCTTTCAACAAGAGAAATTAGCGCCTGCATGTAGTCTGTGTATCAGATTTGTGCAATATCTAGCCTAGGCATACTAAGATTGTCTGCTGGTGGCCCTGGCATTCTGCGTCCTGTCATAAGCTCATGTGGAGTCAAGTGGGTATCAGACCCAGGTGAATTTCTCATTGACATTAGAGCAAGGGGTAGGGCATCTACCCATTTCAGTTTGGTGCCTGCCATGATTTTAGCCATTTTTCGTTTCAGAGTCTGGTTAGCGTGTTCAACGAGTCCCTGCGATTGGGGATGAAACACTGACCCGAACTTGTGAGTGATCCCTAGGGCCTGTTCTACCTCTCTCAGATGTTCATTCTTGAGATGGGTACCATTGTCGGAACGGATCATTCGCGGGACTCCAAACCTTGGAATGAGGTCTCGCCTCAGCCACTTAATCACGGTCTTTGCGTCTTCTCTTGCTGTGGGGATGGCTTCCACCCATCTGGTGAATCTGTCCACCATTACCAACAGGTACCTTTTTCCTTACACTCTGTTGTCCTGTCCCATGTCCGTGAAGTCTATGCAAACGTCTTGAAATGGTGCATCAGGTATTGGGAAGCTACCTATCACTGCTCCAAGTGACACTTTGTTGTTGTATTGTTTGCACACTTCACAGCTCTCTGATGTCTCTCTTGCCATATCCAACATGTGTGGATGCCACCATGCTTTCTCAACTGATTTTGTGACACTTTTCCATCCTCCATGAGCCTTCTCATGCTCTTCCCTTAAGATTGATCTGAGGAGTTTTGCAGGTCCCACTGTTTTTCCTGTGTGAGATCTCCAAATCCCATGATGGTCTTGCCTTGCTCCCTGTCTGCTCCATACGTTCTGTTCGTAGGCGCCTGCTGCTTCTTGCAACTGTCTTACTGTGTCTGTCGTCAACTCCTCCTGTCCTTGAGTGGCTCGTTGCACCATCTGCTGGGCAGTGTATCCTCCTGCATCCTTTGCTGCTTGATCAGCCCGATCATTTCCTTCACGCACTCTGGTGCTTTCTCTGCTGTGACCTTTGCACTTCATTATTGCCACTCGTTTGGGAAGCTGGATTGCATCAATTAACTTCTGTACTTCAACCTTGTGTTTGATGGGCTCATTTGAGCTGGTCACAAATCCTCTCCTCATCCACTGTGGTCCATCAATGTGTGCAATCCCATGTGCATAGGCAGAGTGTGTGTAGATGTCCACATTCTTCCCTTTACTTAGTTGTAGAGCTCTCCTCAACACCCTAAGTTCAGCTAGCTGTGCTGAACTTTCATTGGGACCCAGTTTTTTTGCTTCAATGACCACGTGTTCTCCTTCTTTGTCTTGCTTTACCACAGGATAGGCAGCAATGTTCCCTTCCTTTGGGTCTTTTGACCTGTAGCAGCATCCATCTGTAAACAGGGTGGTCTTGTTGCCCTCCAGGGGTGAGTTCTGTAGATCCATCCGAACCTTGATTTGTTTGGCTGCCCTGTCTTCACATACATGTGGTTCTCCCTGACCCATGCCATCAGTCATGTTGGTTGTGGTTGTCACATAGGTAATGTGTTTTGCAGTGATGGCCTTTGTTATATTGGATTTCCTTTTGCTGGACAATGTGAAAAGTTTAGAACCAATAAAAGCTGTCACTCCATGGTCTGTGTTGATTTCAAGTGGATGTCTCATTACAATGTGAGCTGTTTTGCCTACAGCTTTAGCAATGGCAGCCATGTGTCTGGCACAGTCAATGTGTCCTGTCTCAATGTTGTCCAGTTTTGCACTGTACTAATGTAGCACTCTTCTCTCCCCCTTTTGTTTCTGATACAGGATGGAATGCACATAACCGTCCCTCTCAGAAACATCCAAACAGAATGGCGTGGTATAATCAGGTAAGGACAGTGCTTCAGCCTGTGCTAGCGTCTGTTTGAGTTGGATGAAAGCTGCCTCTGCCTCTGGAGTCCACTTAAGGACTGCTGTGAGATTTCTGTTTCCTGCTTCTCTCAAGATTGCCCGCAGTGGTTCCACTTTAAGACAGTATTCTGGCACGTGTGTTCTGCTGTATCCAGTAAGGCCAAGAAATGACAAAAGGTGTTGTACAGTAGTGGGTTTGGGATGTTCCAAGATTTATGTCCTCTGGGCCGTAGAGACAGCTTGTCCCTTTCCTGACAGTACTCTCCCCAGGAACTGTACACTTCTCCTGCAGCACTGCACTTTCTCTTTCTTCACCTTACACCCTTTCTTAGCTACCAAGAGGAGAAGGGACTTGGTTGCCTGCAAACAAGACTCAGCAGTGGGTGCTGCCAACAGGAGATCATCAACATATTGAAGCAGTGTCACCCCTTCTGGTAATGTTAACTCTTCCAAGTGACTCTTCAGGATAGCGTTGAAGATTCCTGGGGAATCACGATATCCTTGTGGAAGACGAGAATAGGTGAATTGCTGTCCTCTGTAGGTGAATGCAAATAGTGGCTGAGACTCTGGGTGTAACGGGATGCAGAAAAATGCATTAGCAAGGTCCACTACTGTAAACCAGTCTTGGGTGGGTGAGATGTTCTGCAGGGCCAGATATGGGTCTGGTACAGGTCTAACATCCGGTACAGTTACCTCATTGATTGGTCTGAAGTCCTGCACCATCCTCCATTTTCCAGTGTCACCTTTCTTTACTGGTAAGATGGGAGTGTTCCAGTTGGAGCAGGTTGGATATATGACTTGCCCTTTTTGAAGTCCTGATATTGTAGGCTCAATTCCCCTTGTCTTTTCTTCACTGAGTGGGTATTGGCGCTTGCAAACTGGAACAGTAAGGCCGCTGTCCTTTCGAATTGAGACCACCACTGGTTCTATATCAACCAGCCCCACATCCTCAGCAGTTGATGTCCACAGTTGTTCTGGTAATTGGTTGAAAATGTTGACCGTGTCTGGATGGTCAGTTATTTCTCTTCCATGGTAACGAGATCTTCTCACCACTTCAGGTTTTCCAATGTCATCCACGTTTAGTAAGATTCTCCAAACCTGATTTCCATCCATGACTGAGCTTTGAATCTTGTAACAGGCGCTCTTGCTCCACTGCAGGCAGCTTGCCTTCTTTACTGCTGGTCCCAATGATCTTGCCTCATAGCCAAACCCTACTAGGAGAGTAACATGTGGCACAGAGTCACCAGGAAGGGCGTACCATTTGTCTGTCAGTACCACATCTCCATCCATTACCATGCAACTGGTTGCCACTCCTTCTTTGAGTATGTACATGTGATTGCTTGTCACATTTGGTCGTCTGTCCTCCATTTCTTCTTCCCATGCTTCATCATATGCTTCATCCAGGTCTCTGGTGTAATTCATTGTGACGTGTGGAGGGTCCTCAGGAGGGTAGTATGCGTTCAAAGTCTGTATCCATGCCTTCCATAGCTGGAACTCTCTGCATACTCTGGGAGCATCAGGGTCAGTGTCCATTAACTTCAGCCAATACACATATGCTTCTTCCTCCTCCTCCTCTTCTGAGTGTGTTCCCATGTACAGCATGCGTGGGGGATCAGAGAGTTGGCATGAGTTCATCAATAGGTGTGATAGAAGCATGCAGTCCCTCTTGGTTACAATAGATGCTGCATCCCAGCTTGGAGAGCAAGTCCCTTCCCATTAACCCCACCGAACACTCTGGATTGTAGAGAAACTGGTGAGTTACTTGCAGGTCATCCCATACAACTTCCAATGGAACTGTATATGGCTTTCTCATAATAGCCCCAGATACCCCAGAGAAAGCTTGTGTCTTGGTAGTGAGTGGATATGATGCTTGTACAGAAGACCATGTACATCCTGTATCAATCAACATATTATGTTTTCTTCCTCCAATTAAACATGACACTACCGGTTCTGACCCTGGTGGAAATGAGTAGATGTTGGTGGTGAGGTTATATTGGGTTTCTGGGCAGCTTCATTGGGGGTCCTGGTTGGGGTGTTGCATTCCCATCCATGACATACTTGGTAGCAGTGCAGCATTGGGCACTGGTTGAGGCTGCCCATTGTTTTCTCCAGGGTATTGTTGAGGTGATTGAAATTGAGGGCCTCCTTGCCAGCTTCCTCGTCCCTGTTGGAACCTTGGCATTCCTCTTCTTTGCTGTCCACCATACCCTCTTCCTTTTTGTTGTCTTGATAGCTGGTGTGAGTGTGGGCAAAATCTTGCCATGTGTCCTTCATTCCCACAATTAAACATCCTCTATCTGCGTATCTGCGGGGTGCATAGCCAGGCTGTTGAGGTGGGTCTGGTTCTGTGTACATCCCGACAGAGAAATACCCATTTGGCCCCACAGGAGCCATCATCTGGGGTGCCATCATCCCAGCCATTGCCTGTACTACTGCAGCAGCCGCGGCTGCAGCTGGATCAATACCTGGCACACCCTGTGGATTCGGGGTACTGGTCACAACCATCTGTTTGCCTGGTTTGTCTTCAGCTAGTTGTTTTTTCAAAACTTTCTTCTGTAGCTGCTTTAGTTCGTCTTCCTCCTTCCTCTTGCCTTCCCTCCATCGCTCCACATGATGTTGGGCTATTTCTGTGAACTCTGGGATGGATTTTGCTGTGAGTGCTACAACCTTCTCACACTCTACCCGTGCCTGGTCAGGGAGTCCTCCCAGACAACTTGCCAGGAAGAGGTGACTCATTGCATTATTGGTGGGCTCTTCATTCCATGCTTGTCTCCAGAGGCACTTTGCTCTCTTCATGTAGGCTGGTATGGTTTCATCATCATTCAATGTCAGTGTTCTCATGAGATCTGGCCTTGCCTGAGTGGGATACTTCCTTCTAACTGCATCCCATATGACAGTTCGGTATCGATCAAATCCAGTTGCTGCTCCTACTATTCCTCTCAGGCCTGCTTGTGTAAGTATCTCTTTGCATTCTTGATCTCCCATGCACCTGTTCATCACTGCCACCATATCCCCTATGGTGAGTTCATCTGCTGCAGTAAGGCTCTCAAAAGCCTTCACCCACCTGTGTCCTGATTCTTCAGGCTGGGGTAAACTGTCAACCAGAGTTTGCACATCCCTGTGTGGCCAGGGCTTGTATACTGAAGCTCCCCCTGTTGTTTCTCTCAGAGGATACTGACCCCCACAGTTACCCCCTCTCCCTTGAGTTTTGGCCCGTGTGCGTTGTGCAGGCCCTTCCTCATCCCAAATGTCTCCTTGGAAAGCTCCATAGAGCATTTTTGTCGGCTTTGTGTCTTCATACTCTTCCTCTTCTTCTCCCAGATCAATACAATGGCCCCCCCCCTTGGCTCTGGTGTTCTTTGCAGTGATGTGAGTGCCAACTCCTTTCTGTCTTCTCTCACTTGCTGTTCCAGTACTTTCAGTTCCTTTCTTAATTCGGCATTGTTGTCATAACTGGTTGAACTGGCTGTACTTCTTCCTCCTACTTCCTCATTCTCTCTCTCACTTGCTCTGGTTTGACACAAGTCCCGGTACTCTGTACTTCTCTCTGAGCCTTCTTCCTCTTTATCCAGTCTACTCAGCTGAGAAATCTGTTCTTTCAGTTCTCGTGCGGCTTTCAACATCTGTTCGATGTCACTTCTTCGTCTATTCACCTCCTCTTCCCCCACCCATGTATCCTGCAGCACGCCATCTTTCTGCTGATACTGTACCTGCCCAGTCAGTTCCAGCACTGGTGCCATTGTTTTTGGAGGGTTTCATATGGCGGTGGGGCCGATGGCAGGGCTGGATGCAACCGATTCGTTATCTTGGGTGGTGCTTTGTCTGGCTTTCTCCATCGCGTCTTTGGACTTCCCTTTGAGAGGCTCCCCTTCCTCTTTCCACTCACTTACTGCCTTCTCTGTTCTCTTCTTCAGGGCTGTCATTATTGTCCTCGGTTCTCCTTCCCCTGGGATTCCATTCATTGCCATTATCCATCCATCTGCTATCCATTCTTTGTATAACTTTTCTCCTCTCCTCTTCCATTCCTTCCCGTCTTTTCCCCCATTTATCCCGAGGGCGGATTTCAACACTTTAATTACTTTATCTGTCATTTTAGCCAATGTTGTTGTATCTATACTTTTGTTTTAAGAACTTTATTATTTATTCTTAATTCTAATTTAAAACCTTACTGACTCCAATATTTTGTATAAAAAGTGCTTTTAATGTTATTGGTCTAATATTTTTAGTTTAAAACTCAAATGGGTAATAGTAATACCATTAGACCACTTAATTTAACTAAATGACCAAAAATGCAAATATAAATATTCTCTACTTTATCTCTCCTTCTCCTGGTTATAATCTAAAGATGGTAGTACACACAAAACATGATACAGATATCCCCAGTCCTATCCCATCAATAATTGTTTGTATCAACCTAAATCACCCCCCTTTTCTCTCCTGACTCTTCAAAAGCCACACTCTCGCTGTCTCCAGCCCCTCCCCTCGCAACTCTCTCTTCCGTGTCCAGTGGGAACAGGCTTTTTGAGGAGCTGTTTTTCGTTTTAGTGTTTCCAATATTCTGCCGTTATTTAAAGTACTTTAGTCTATTTATTTAAATCAAATTATTCCCACCTAATTAGTTAAAGTCG